TGACAAGGCTGAACAGGAAAGAACCTGGTGCTCTTTTGTACGATGCAGTATCTGGTAAAAAAATATTTACTGAGTTAGATTGGTTGTATAACAGTTCTCGGTAGCAAATAGGGACAAAACCAGGACAAGAAATTGTCACTGCAATAATTAACGCTTGTGCTTGTGGCTGGAGCTATCATTTTCATGTCAGTGCATCACGACCTCTAAAAAAATCACTCTGCCCTTAGCTTACTCTAGATGAGATAGAAGTTCACTTCCTTAAAATAAAGGAGGCTTGGTGTTCAACTTTAGAAAGATGTTTTTCATCGAAGACTATGGTTTGACTATGCAATGGTAACACCTAGCTTAAAATATACAAAAAAAAAAAACAACAACCATATCATAAGATAGAACTCCCTTTGAAACGAAAATAAAAACAAAAACAAAAACAAGACAAGACAAGACAAGATAAGACAAGACAAGACAAGACAAGAAAAAACAACCAAAAAAAAAATAAAAATACAGCAACAACAGCAGCAAAAACATCAATGCATTATTCATGGAATTAGGGAGTCCTATAAAACCTGATATTTCATTGAACTGTCAGTCAAAAGGGTTTATCCCTAAGAAATGTGAGCAAGCTGACTCACCCTACAAGAAAGGAGGGGGCAGGGGGGCGGTTGGCTGAATCTTCCACTAGTTTTTAATGAAGTTGTGAAAGCAGAAAGCTAACTAAGAAGGTTCTTAAGATTACGTTTGTGCTGTATGCCAGGAAGCTCTCATTTGGGAGTTTTTTGTAGCGCTAGATCGATTGTAAAATAATCACTTTCTGATCGATTTAAGTTTTTGTGATATTTTGGCAGAATCATCATTACATTTTCCCGAAAAGAAAAGAAGAAAAAGGATAGAAGTTCCCAAGCAAAAGACTTCTCGCTTCTGTAATTAGCCTGTAAATGGAAAGTAAACAGCAAATTTGAGAGCAAAATATTAGGATGGGGTATTTTATCATGGGGGTGGGGGGGGGGGGGGGGGGGGAGTAAAGGAGTTTGATTCAATTGGGCTGACAGAAAGGTCTCTTACTTGGCGATTGCCATGGCTGCTCAGTATATCCTCCAAATATGTAGTTTCCATACTTGATCACTGTAACTGTTGGTCCTTTGTTATCACAACAGGAGTGGAAGTAAGAGGCGGCCCATCCATTGCGAGAAGCTCGGTATAACAACACGTAATCGTCGCCTAAGCTTTCGCGTATGTCCTTCAACCAATCTACCAGGGTTTCACGCTGTTCTGAGGAGAGAATTGCAGAATCTTTAAACGGATTTGCCTTCAACTCATCGAGTATCCCATCGATTTGATAGAATTCTGCCTCGTTCAACAACTCCTTGCGAACGACTTTATCGTCCGGTAAAACGAGTTTTCCAGTGCGAAGGTAATTTAAGATATGTCGGAAGTGTGTTCCATCTCGGTCGATGAAGTAAGATCCATCCTCGCCAGGTTTTGTGTCAAATCTGCCTGAAAACATGGCATGTAACATGGAACCTGTGAAAACAAGATGAAAAAACCTCCTTTTAATACCTAAATCCTTTTTTTAAAATATAATCAACTTCATTTACCCAGTTTGGCGGGTGACATCGTACATCACATGGCAAACTATAATCATCCATATCAAAATTGTTTTCATTGTGATGTAGTGAGTTAACTAGAAGTAATGGCGGATTATTTAGGATTGCGTTTCACATGCCTGTCCGTTTTTAAACAAGCGTAAAGACGCAGGTAAAAGCTCAGAAATCGGCATGCAAAACGGAAGTACCGTTCCGAACAATGGACTTCAAAATCGAATTCTCTCAACTACTAAAACAGCTGCGGACGCAAGTAGGACTTGAATTTATGGATAAACAATTGAATGGAGGCGAACTTTGTACAGTGTATCAACCAGCTAGATCTCAATCCTTAGTTCAAAATTCAAATCTTGCTTCAAAGTACCTGGATCTTTAGTCATAGTCGCCAAACTTGTGGAGAAAA